TTGTGTCTTCATCAGTTGTGTTGATTTTGGAGGTTTTTTTTTTTTTTTTTTTTTTTTGGGGGGGGGGGGGGTATTTATCAAAAAGTCCATGTGCAACGTTGCAACAAATATCCTTGACCAGACCGACAACTGCGTTGACCAATAGGAATCAGGGAAAATTCGGTTACGTAATCATAATACAATGAGAAAGCCCAATCGCGCGGCACGAGGCGGGCCGTCGGAGCACGTTTTGATGTGTGCGTGCGCGTGTTCGCGACCCATCAACTGAAGGCCCTCATGTGACCGCGGAGGAACGCCGCTGATTGGCCACACGGAGTGGAGGGCGTGCCGACGGTGGCGGCGTGCGTTTGCCTATGTGACACAATTACAACAACTTTGAGCCGCTGGTTGGGGGGAAGTTTGCGAGCTTATCAAACAACTTTCTCACTTCTGGCCCCACATTACGCCAACTCCATGCATAAACCGGGACTGGAATACGCGCACTGTTTTGACGTACAATGAAGAGCGCGGAGGGGAACTTGAAAGGATCGCTTCCTTGAGGATTTGGCAAGAATCACGCTACGCCCCGTTTTAACCCTGGATAGGTGTGCGACGGTCCCGCTGCTGCCGAGTTCCGCCGGAGTCGCCCGGTCCCACTCCCCCTCTCGGTCTCTCGCCATGAAATCGTGCGGACTGTCGCTCACGGCCGCTGCCCGGAGCCTCGGCGTTGCTGCTAATGACGAGGAGAAAATGGCGTCGGGAAAAGCGACTGAAATCGAAGAGGACTTTCCGAAGCTAACAGCACAGGAAAAGGAGAGCCTGGTCGGAATTGACAGGTTAGATGCCTAACTGCAAGAACAGTCTTATTCGCGTGTATTTTTTCTGTTGTTCTGTAGCTTTTACTAGTGAAGTTGGTAACAACATGATCGCTCCCCCCACTAAGTAACACGGAACCGTTGTCTGTCCTTTACTTGCAGTTCACTGTTTGGATTTCATGGGCTTCAAGAAGATGGCGCCAGAACGAAGGCCTTGCTGTTAAAGGTATGCCACTAAAAGCAGTCTCACAGCCGCCTCTGGCCGCTATCTCCTCTGATGAGACACATATCCCACCTGAAACGAATGGTACAGACCTCCCAACGCCGCTCTACGTGTATGAGTGCATCCTGGCCTTCAATTTCATTCCCAACTTTAAAGCTGAGCCAGCAACCGCCTGTAGAAGCAGAGTTATTCCAGGGATATAACGCAGCGGCAGGCTTACATCGGTGTGAAACGCACCTTAGATAACAGAGACAACGCTGTTTTACGGTGAAACTGAACGCATCTCCGCCCTAACAGAGGTGTCATCGGTTCAGCTTTTACGGTCGCATTATATAGCGACAGCCCAACCATATCGTGTGCATCATAAGCATGGCAAATCGTATTACCTTCACACCTGCTGTTACTTTTTTGAGTTTGTTACATATCCAGACAAGCGCCCCGTTTCTCAACAGGGAAATTGTGATAACTTTTGTGTTTATGTAGCTAAAGTGAATTACAGAGCGGCACGAAGACACAAACCTAACAGTTTGCGTGTGTTTTTGTGATAATAGTTTCCAAGTTAGCAGCAATATTCGGGTGGCACAAAACAAGCCGATGAAACGGCAAGCCAGAGTTTGTGCATCAGCTCTCTCTCTCCGGTTAGCATGCAGCGGCTAACCGTCCAGCGGTGTACACCCGTTTGCACTCGCACGTATGCATCCCCCTTTTTTAACGTCGGTTTTGACATTTTGGGCTAAAACTACATGCCTTCTGTTAAGGTTGCAAAAAATAATGGCTGCTTCGCGTCGCCCAAGATGGCGGGGGAGGGAAGAAAATACCCAGAAAAGGTTTGCTGCCCTAGCTAGTTAGCTAGCTAGGGCAGCGGCTAGGCTAACCTTCATTCGCATGAGAGATAATCACGACGAGGGCGTCCAGTGTTTATAACAAAGATGAGTGATTAGAGCGGAAGCCGGGAGCGCCAGACGGAGTAAATGTGCACTGCTTGGTGAACACACACAAAGCCTGTGTTATTACAGTCCGTGTTTCTGCCATAAAACTGCCCGTGCGGACTGTTTGTTCAACATGTGGCTCACTGGAGGTGGAGACATAGCAGGGGGACAATGTATCCAAGGGTTTAGAAGGCATGTTGGCAACACTTTCCAAAGTGTCGTAATGTCAAAACAAGTGGGAGCATTTAAAACGGCATTAGATGAACTTAAAATATCATCCAGGAACACATACAGGTGCATTCACAGGTGCAATTCATTGTAACATGAATTACAGCATTATTTACCTGGAGTATTGCCATGATTCTTTCATGCATATTTGAGAGAGGTTTTAATCTCCCATGGCAACCATTAAAGCTGTGCAAAACACCTGCTTGGACTGAGCGCTGCCTTTGAAGTGCAACTCCTCCTCAGAGCTGCAGTTTTGAAGCTTCTGTATTACAGAGTAGCCCGCCTGCTCTCAGCTCCTCTAGACTATCCAATAGCAATTAGCAAAAACCTGGTGAAACTGCACATCTGCTGAGCTCATTATAGGAGCTACTTTTCAGTGCAACTCTGGTGAAAACATTGTTAAAGGGTTACTAGAGGAACAATGTTGTGATTATGAAATAACATTTCTTTTAAGTCATATTGGACACACATAGCATTTTTACAACTGAAGCTAACATAGTTACATGGTTGTGCTATAAGTTATTAGCCGCAAATGACTCATTATTCACTAAAGGAATGCAGTTACTGGCTCCTAGGCAGGAAAATGTTTTTTGTTTTTTTTTATAACTGAATTAACCATTTGCTTGCATCTTTTAATGCATTTCTAATATTGTGTAAAAGGCTTTATTGGATAAATGAAGAAAGCTGCAGAATATACATTTAAAAAAATCTGATTACTTGATTAATTTCATAATAATTTACTAAATTAATCATGTTTTCCTTATTTAAAAAAATAATTTATTTGCTGTGTCTTGATGGACATATAATATCGTATAAAATAGCTTACGTGGTTAAATGGAAAATCTGCAGAATCTACCTTTTATTAAAAATCAGATTGTCACAATAATCAATGGACTCTTTGCACCTCAGCTTCCGCGTTTGGGGAAAAGCGGCTCGATTGTTTCCAATCTATTGAAAATGGCCTTTTACACTAAATGCTTGCAAGGCTTGGCCAAGGTTTGTACATCGATCCGAAGCCCCAACAAGTCAGCTGGAGAAAGGTTTTAGATGTTCGCCTCGTTATACATTCACTGACACGAAGGTGAGTTTTACTTAAACTTTGTGGCTAACATTAACGTTAGCTTATGCTAGTAGGCAATATTGTTGGACATTGTTCTTGTAAAATGTGCTATTTAAGTATCTAAACATTCTAACGGACAATTTTTTTACCTAATTTTCAAGTATACTGTGTGTTTATTGTCGTTAGTGTCACAGACTAACGGGGAGGTTGGTTCGGACTTTTTACTTCCGAAGCCTGACGGAGCTCAACAAGCCTCATAGCTTGAAAGTAGTGCAGCTCTGGTGTCAGAGATCTGGTTCAGCTGTTCAGGTTCAAAGTTGCTGCTTTTAGAAAAATGACCGTGTTGCTTCATGTCTCCGTGTTATTTCGTTTTATTACCTTGTTTCTTGTGAAGAGCTCAGATAGGACGGTGTTTACAGCAGTATCTAAAGGCGGATCAGTTGCTTGGCTGTCTGGCTCTGGTCTGCTCTCTCGTTCCCATAAACTCTTTCAGGCTGAATACAGAAATGATTCCATGGAAATAACTCAGGGAGGCTCCTTTATTTACCATCCGTATCCCCGGTAGTTTTAGGCTGATCCGGAGTGAAGTGAAGGCTGCAAACTTTGCTGTGCGGCGTTAGCTGGTAGCGACAGATATTTACAAGCCAGGATCGCTTGGAAATGAACGAAAACTTAAAAGCCCATTATATTAGGAAGACAACAATGTTAATAGTATTGTTTTTTTTGCATCTGAAATACGACTTAGTCTTTTCTACCAGTCATGGAAACTCAAAGCGGAAAAAGCTCCTGGAGATGTGACGTCAAC